TACAAAAAAATAACATTTTCATATTGATGACATATTAAAATGATATTTTGGATATACTAGGTTAATAAGATGCATGTTTAATAATAATCACACTTTTAAAAAATTTCTATAATGTGGTAATTAGAGAAGTTTAAATTATGCATGTGACTCTACTTGCACCGTATTTTTATTGGACAATGCTGATCTAAAGCTATATCTACTTGTGTATATCTCCAACAGAAGTTGGTATTTATGTGCACTATATTTCAAGAACAGGAATGTTCATAGCAGTGTTATACATAATAAAAATTAAAAACAACTCCAGTTTCTATTATTGGTAGAATGGATAAATAAATATCCATTTTTGTATTTGGATTATATGATATGATTATAATATGAAATATTGAGCAACAAAGTAAACTATAGCTACAGGCAACAAGGATGACTCTACAATGTTAAGTGAAATCATCTCATTTGATTCCATTCATACAAAGCTTAAAAACAGAGGAAAATAAACTACAAAATTAGAAGTTACAATAGTTAACTTTAAGGAGAATAGTGTTTTTATGGTCTGGGGGGAGGTTTTGGGATACTGGAAATGTTCTGCGATGTGAACAGGTTACAAGGATTTTGTGATAATTCACGGGGCTATGTACATTTATGTATATTATATCAATTTTTCTGTATGTATATTCTTCACAACAAAAATTAAGAGGGGTTAGTGAGGCTGCCAGCAATTTATTGTAAATGATTCAATGAATATAAGAAAGACCTTAGATATAAAACTTCTTATGACTGATCCATCCATGGAAACTACAGAAAAGCAAAATAAGAAATGTTTTTTAAGGCCAGTAAAGAAACACCAATACTTTCTAAAGAGTTCCAGATATGACTCTCCACTTTAAAATTTTAGGTTTTGCTTGCTCACTCAGCTTGGCATGACAAGTTACTTCCTGAAAATATATCAATAATGTTGACTAAAATAAAATACAGAATCTGAGAATTGCAAAATTTAAAGGGATCATGTATTCTACATTTTTGAGCTGTGATTAGTTTCTGAATCTTATAGAATCTCTTGAAAATACATATATGTATGGTATACACAATATTAATATACACGACACATAACACATCATTTTGGGTGGTTCATTTGGCAGTTTATCGAATCCAGGGTACTTAGTACAAAATGGTCTAAGGCCAAAAGAGCTCAAGAAACAACTCTGGTTAGTGGAAAATCTAGAATGGGTATTGAAGACTCTGAATTTCCCAACCAGTCATTATTCCTTCACATGAAGAATGTCATTTCCCCCCAAACCATCTGGCTACATAGAAGGCACACAGTCATAAAGTAAACATTTGTTGAGTTAAAAGGACATGCAAATATCTAGCCCAAACTTCATAATAGAACTATAGCCCATAATTACAGGGTTATAATGAGCTTGGATTTTCATGTCAGACTGACCTAACTATGATTTTGGCCTCTGTCCTTAACTGGCTTTATGTTACTGGGCATATTACATACTCTTTTTTTTTTTTGGGTACCAGGGATCCAACTCGGGTCCTTGTGCTTGCACAGCAGGTGGTGAAACCACTGAGCTAAATCCCCGGCCCACTGGGCATATTACTTAAACCAGCTCTCACTTGGAAAATCTGATAGCACCAAATGTACTTTATGAGATCATTGTGGGGATTAAAGGAAATGATCAATGTAAAATATCTCAAGCAGCATCTGGCACAGTAAAATCTCAGAAAGTGGCTATGATTAATGCTAGGGCATAGTGAATCCTGAATTAAAAATTAGTTAAACTGAGAATTTTAGAATCAATTGGTCAACTAATCCAACTGATTCAGAAATTATACATTGTTTTAACATTGTGCATTTGCTTAATTTCTACTAATGACAGGGAATTCACTATAACCAACTAAAGCAGCTCTGATTCTTCTGAAGTTGTTCCTTATTGTTAGGTTGAATTATGTAAAATGGCTGCTTGTAGGTCAGATGGTCAATTATCAAGTTTCTCATAAAATGACCATACACTTAACTTTCTGTTACTTCCTTTAACAACAGACCATTAGAAATAATGGGGAGTTAATGTTGAGCACCAGAGACCTACCTTTTGCTTTTACTGAAACATACATAAAAGACCATAAGGAAATAAGCAATCATGTATGATTTTTCATATCAAGGAGATGGAAGAAGTATGTTTCAAACAAATGGCTCAGCAGGAGGAATCCCCGTAGAACATATCATATGTGAAGACTTGAGATTATAGATCAGCACTGTCCAACAGAACTTTCTGTGATGATAAAAATATCCTATACATTCATTGTCCAATATGGTGGCCATTTAGCCACATATGGTGAATGACATGTAAGACTAGTGTCATGTGACTGAGGAAATGACATTTAACTTGACTTAATTTTCATTCATTTAAATTTAAATAGCCACAAATGGGTAGTGGCTACCAGATGAAGCAGAGCAGCTGTAGAATAGGAGGCAAGAGGCAAGAGATGAAGCTGGAAAAGTCAGCAGGATCTTGATCATAAGGAACTTCGAGAAGCATGTTAGTGATTGCAGACTTTATCCTGAGAGCCACGGAGAATCTCAGAAGGGTAAACTCGAGGGAGTAACACAATCAGATATAAGTTTTAGAAAGATAATTCTGGTTTGTCTTGAAGAGATTGACAGGAGATGGGTAAAGATATCGATCTTGTCTTCAGGAGTTTGCTCTCTTACAGGAGAAAACTAAAGACAGAAAAGTGACTCATGTATATTTCAAAGAAACAAATACACAACCAATCACACCCAGTCACATTCAGTATTCATGTATGTATTTATATATAGTGTACACAGTGTTTGTTAACAGTTATGATTTACAATTCTTGCTTTTCCTAATGCTCAAAAGGCATCTAGCCTCACCTATTTCTGGGTGAGCTCTATTTGACAGTGCTGTTCCATATACTCAAATCTCCACCTGAGCTCCAAATAAGCCTGTCAACATAATATTATGCCATGCCACATGCCGTTAGTTTTTTCTCTTCTCTGTACATTTTACTCTGCTTTTTTAAAGGTCCTCACCACTGAGGCTACTTTTGCCTGTGGTCATGTCAGTAACCTCAGTGCTTCCAAGGGCATGGCTTTTTTGAGGGGGAAGGGTACTGGGGACTGAACTGGGACCTTGCGCTTGCGCTTGTGAGGCAGATGCTGAGCTAAATTCCTGGCCCAAGGCCATGGATTTTTAAGGTGTCAAAAAAGCACTTTATTTTCTGTGGAAGGAGGAGGAAGCCCTCACCTGAGCGATATAAGCAACGGCTCTAACCCTTACTTATGAGGTAAAACAAAATTAAATGAAGTGACAAAAACAGGAACTCAGGGACCGATGATGGTAAACTGTCATTGGCTGTCCCCTACAGAATTGTATGTTTCACTCTCTAGAAACTGATACATAAGCATCTGATACATCCCCTACCTCCTCCCTGACACACAGCATACAGAAGCACTTGCACTCCACGTACAAAGAGCTCTTCAGCTTCTAGCACTTCAGGGACATATCCATACAAGGCTGAATTCTCCTCAAGATCAGCCATGAATGACCCTGTAGAAGAAATGTTTAAAGAAGTACATAAGCAATGAGAAACCAACAGTCAGATATAATGCATGTGGAGCTAGAACAATAACATGGGATAATGTGAAGTGCATGTTCTTTGGTGCCAGCCTCACCTGAATTCAAATCTCAGTCTGGTCACTTTACTAACTGGATGGTTGTAGGCATATTATTTTTCTGTAGACATCATACAAATAACAACTCTGCTTTAAGGAAATAATAGCTTATTCTGAGCCAAATATGAGTGATCATGGCCTGGGAACATGGATCAAGAGGTTCCCCTAACAGGGTTTTCCATGGAGGAAAAGTCTCAAAAGAAAGTAAGTGGGGACATCAAAGGGGTGGACCTTTGTAGGGAGACTACAAAGAAGCAGAGATGTCTTTTCTATAAGCTTTAGATGTTATCTTTAACAAGGCAGGGAAATCTATTATAGGATTGAGGTATTACTACATTCTTAGCTTTAGGGTAACTGAAGGCCAGAGGTCTATGAAATTTAGTATATAACCCAAGAGTTTATCTAATAGTCATAAGAATGCTTGGTCAGATAGGAGGTTGACAGTAAATGATGGTCAATAAGGACTAAAGATAGCCCAGGATTGCTTTGCCTCTTGTTCTGCAACATTCCATCTCTCCACAACCATGACGTTCTAGACACGAAGGTTACTTTGCAGGGTCTTGAATATAGAGGTTGCATATAGAGGCTCACACTTCTGAACTTCAGTTTTCAATTCTAGAAAATACCGACATGGCTGTCCTTCTTGAAATCAATATGTAGTCCAGGCTGGCTTGAACTCTCAGTAGTCTTCCTGCCTCAGCCTCCCAAGTGATGGGTTTACAGGCATGCTCTACCACGACTGGCTAAAAAAATACAGACTTCTGGAGGGCCGATAAAATTAAAAATCTCATATGTGCAATAGGTATATCGAGAAGCTGCTCGATAAATGAAAGATGCCATTACTGGCGAAGTTTCAGATGCCACAGGCCCAGGAAAAGGAAATACAAGGAAGGCCAGCACATCCAGATCTAGAAGCAGCACAGGATCTTATAGATGATAATGAAGTTGCACCTAGTACGCTTTCCTCATTTTATCGATAAGGTCACTGAAGCCAGAGACAGGCAAATGAGTGACAGAGCCAGACCAAGAGTCCTGGTGTATCTGGAGAGACTCAGTCCAATATTCCTTTCTTTAAGGAGACTGTTGTAACCTGCCTCCATGTCATTCGGAAATGATAATCCGTACTCCTCTTTTGAACCTGGGGGCGGGGGTGGAAAAGGAAGTGGAGGAGATAAGCTATTTTCGGGGTGATTACAGGCTTCCGCGTCGCCATGGCAACCCCAGGTTGGTTGGGGAGGACCGACTCCTCCGTCGACCCCTCCCCTTCACGCAGCGGACGTGACACGTGTGGCAAGGTCACGTGTTGTTGTTGGGCCGGGAAAGCTGCTTCCGGGTCAATGCAGGACACTGGGCTTTGGCGGCCGGAGTGGGGGCCAAGGTGAAGCTGAGCCGGGCTGGGGCCGGCTGGGAGCAGGCCGGAGGCTGAGCGGCGGCGGCGACGGCTGTGGCCGGGAGGGGGGAGGAGAGGCGCAGCTGGAGGAGCCGCCGCAGCTGCCCCCGCCTCCCGGGCTGAGGGGTGAGTGGAACCCGCCTGGCGGCGTTCCCCGCCGGAGCCGGGCGCGGAGGACTCTCAATTGGGCCCAGGGGGAAGGACTCCGAGCGGGGCGGGAGGCCTTTCGTGGGGTCGGAGTGAGGCTGGGGCCTGCTGGGCTGTGGCGGAGCGGGGAGGCCCTGGGAGGAGAAGGAAGCTGGTCCGGGTTTCTGGGGCCGGCCTGGGAGAACCCCTGCTTCTCCCTGTGCCCCAGGATTGGGGGATGGGAAGATGCCCTCTGACTGGTAGGAGACCGAGACTTGTGTCGGACTGCTGGGGAAGTTGGAAACCTGTCTCTAAGTCACTGCATTAAAAAAAAAAATGTACCCAGGGATGGGGAAAGAGTGACCATTCCTGGACTCCTGGGATACTAGGCCTGCTCTTTCTAGGCTCTGATGCGACGTGGTTTGATAAGAGCTTTTGGGAGAATGAAGTTGCCCCTAGTTGGGAGACGCTGAGATGGGGGAAAGGGGTGAAGATGGGCGCTGGCAGGAGGGTACCCTATTTTGCGGGGGAGTAAGGTTCTGGGTGGAGATTCCCTTGAGAGTAGGGAGTACAGATTCTAGGTCCTCTGCTGGCAGATTTCTTTGAGGGCACGTGATTCCAGAAGTTGTAGTTGAGGAAAGTTGGTTGAAAGAGTTGAACGTTTACAGTTAGTGGAGGAAGGAGGAGCTTTACTTTGAAGGTTGCCAAATTAGGCAGAGCTTGTAAACATTGCCTATGGTGTTTAGGGAAGCTGGCAGGGCCTTCAGGGCCAGCCAGACTGGCTGAGCTGGGGGTTGGCCCGGTTTCCTCCTGCTGCCGCGGCATTCCAACTTTGGTTTCCTCTAGTCCATCTTGAGCAGAGACTCCATAGGTGCTGAAGGCTGAGGAAAACATTCAACTTTTGGGTCCTGAGCTATTAGACCTAAATCTCTAGGGTAGTAGTTTTTAAATTTTGAACCCTTTTTTTTAAAAAAAGTTCTACCTCACAGTAAAATATACGTCTGGCGTTGTGATCTAGTACATTCCCATATATGCATGAATGATCTGGTACGTACCCACAAACAAATGTAAATGTGATGTGTTCTGACGATTTCTATTCCATTCTCTTTCATTAGAAAAATGCTGACCGAAACCACCAAATTGATTTTTGGGTCACACCCTGAAGTTTGAAAACTGCTATTTCTGAGACATTTGACTAGTCAGTGTCCCTGTATTGTAAGCTTCTAGAGAACAAAGATGATTCCAAGAAGAGGGAAGTTTGGGGCAGGGACAAGGAAGCAGTTGCACTTGCCTACCTCAGTTGGTTAATGTTTGTAACATAGCATATTTGACTCTTTTCCTAATGTACCATAATCTTAATCTTTGATATGTTAATGTTGCCCAGTCATTTGACTGATGAAATTCTCTGCATCATGTCTTAATTTTTCTGTCCTTTGGTGTGTCTGAGAAATATGAGAGGCCTAGTTTCATTTAGCTGTTTTATCTCTGTTTCATAGTTAAGGGTATTTTATTTTACTCTTCCAGTGTTGTAAAATACATTGATTTTCTTTTCTGCTATTTAAATACATCTTAAACTCTTTTGCTCCAATAATCATTATGTGGCATACTTTTTTTCTTTTTGTGGTAGTGGAGATGAAACTTAGGGCTTTGAGAGCTACACCCCTAGCCTTTTAATTTTTATTTTATTCCCAAGTTGCCCAGAATAGCCTGAAACACATGATCCTCCTGTTCAGCCTCCCAAGTTAGCATACTTTTTTGCTACGGTGTATAAAGGTATAGAGTTCATGGCTTTAGTATTATTTTAAATATAATCATAACAAGTATAACTGAATCAGTTAACATCTTAATTCCCCATAAGAAAATGATGCTTTTCATCTGTTTTTAAAATAGATGAGATTATAAGAAAAACAATATCAATTCATAATAAACATTAATGAGTGTTGGTGAACAAAGCCAGAGCCCTTAATGTGTTGTTGGTATGTGCTTTGAAAAGTTGTCACACAGCCTATTGCTGCACATTGAGTGCCAAATGATGTTGCCTAATTTCAGTAGGTAAATTTATAGGGTGTATGAGACTGGTTTAATGGTGCTAATTTTGTTGAGGATGAATTCATATTATTTGGGATATGGAATTCAAAGGCACAGTCATCAGGAAAGAATCACCCAATTTAAAACTTCATCAGTAGGGATACATTCTTGATTAGATACCTTATGAAAGCAAATGCTTTCATCTTCTAACCTTGTTATAAAACACATCTTGCCTTTAACTATTCTCTGACGATGTCTGGGTTCCAGGGCCTGATATTGGCATAGGTCAACCATCCTTTACAGATTCTCTCTTTTAATCAGGTAAATGTTATTTGTTTTAAAGTATTTAGCTTTAAGGAATGTTTAAAGATGACTTTATTTTATTGTAAATGCTTGGAACATCAAGGAAGATTCTCATTAATTTCATTTTTCTGAGAATCATGTGTACCTGTCAATAAACAATTATGGAGAACTTACTCTGAGTGATTATGTGTGCTTTTTTATATTTCATTTTTCTCCTGTAAATCTAAGGACTTACTGTAGGCTCTCTTCCCTTTGTAATTTTTGCTTCCATATTGCTGTGGGTTTGGAAATCAGGTACTTATATATTTGTTAGAATTTGGTGTAAAATGAAATCACGTTGCTCTGAATAATGTTTAATGTGTACACACACACACACACACACACACACACATACACACAAAATATTTTTTTTTCCTTAGTGTTTAAACTGTGTAGTTGTTTAATTACCTCTTGGTCCTGGACTGTGCTCTAAATAAGTGAACTCTTCATGTATTTTGGGCCTAGTCAGTTATACAAGGACTAAAAAGTAATGTGAAACTGGTAGTGATCAATTTAGGTTTCATGAGTGAAGAAATTATTGACCTGTGGTTGTTTCCTCTGCCCTATAAATAATTAGTCATTAAGATTGACTGTTCCCTTTTCAGACTGCCTTGTTCTTGAATTTTACTTCTTTAGGATTGGGATAGTAATAGTACAACTATTCCTATTGTTTGTATTCATAGCTTCTTGAGAGTACTCTTCCTGAGAATATGGCTGTGATTATTTCATTTTTTTCAAAAAGCACTAGCTGCTTCCCAATGTCAACACTGAATAAAATCTGTACTGTTTATTCAGATGGATATTCAGGCTTTCTGTCCAGGCCTTCTCAGTTTTTTCTGGTATCATTCCATTTCCCAAAGCAGATTGTCTTCCACTAAGATTCGATTATTCGGTCTTCCCTTGTGTGTTACAGATGTTCCCTAGGGCTGTGGGGATAGCTCAGTGGTAGAGGCTTGTCCAGCCTGCTGAAGGCCGTGGGTTCAATCTCCATTGCAGGTGGGTGGGGATCAGTATCTTTGTGAAATCCTTTTCATCATTTCAGATCAGATGATCCCTCCCTCTGTAAGGTCTTGCTTATATTGTCTACACACCTTGTTTTACCCCCTTTAGATCCAAAACATCTAGAAGTCAAGAGGCTCCAATATCCTTTAATCTCTGGGACTTCCAGCATAAGGTCTATCAGCACATAGCTCAAAGGCCAAGTGAAGCAGAATTGACTGAATTTAGGATTAAAGATGCAGATCCTTGAATTCTACTCTAGACTTTCTGAACCAAAATCTGGTGGAATCTAGGAATCTTGTTTTAGCAAGTTGCCCAAGTTATTCTTCTGTACGATAAAATTTAAGAATCTCTTGAGTTAGCGTGCTTTAAATTATAGGAGGCTCACACGAACAATTTTTGAGCAAATGATGTTAATGAACTGAGCAGTATTGTAGTTTAGCAGGTTGGTTTAATTTTAGGGCATTGAAGTCGGCCAGATTTGAATCATGGTTCTTTCATGTACTAGCCTTGTGACTGGTACCTCCCTTTGCATCAGTTTTCTGGCCTGTAAAATGGGGATAATAATACCTCTTACAAGAGTGTTGTGAGACTTGTATAAGATAATCCATGTAGAACAGCACGTGGCATAAATAAGCTCTCAGATTTTATCTGCTATTGTCATGATGACAATTAGGATGACGCTGGTCATTGTGGAAATCAAACATGGTTTTAAGAATAGGTTCCACATCTCCATACTGACTTCCACAGTGGTTGCACCAGTCTGCACTCCCACCAGCAATGGAGAAGGGTTCCTTTCTCCCCACAACCCCACCAGCATTTGTTATTTGTTGATTTCTTGATAGCAGCCATTCTTTCTGGGGTGAAGTGTCATTGTTAATAATACAAATTTCTTCTGTGCTTTCAAGAATTGAAACTTACAACATTTTCCATTTTAGGTTAACTGGTCATCAGCCTATGCAGTAATTTTAAGTCTTAAAGGTACTTTGTCTTCTTTAGAAAGATGGGTATCAAATTAGAATATTCAATTCTTTTCCCTTCCTTTCCCTACTGCCAAATGAATAAAGTGTAAACTTCTAACAGAGACCTGTAGTCCCTTCCCATCTAGCCCTACCCAGCCATTGTCATCTTCTAGCCCACTTCCAGCAACGGTCCATATCTCTTTGTCTTGTATTTCTTTTGCTTAATTGTTGCCTACACTTGTGCTCTCCCCCTTTTTCATCTAGTAAGTTCTGCTGCTCTCTTGGAAGATTCAGCTTTATGTTTAACCAAACTCCTTAATTCAGATAGTTACTTCCTCCGTGCTCTCAGAGTCCTTTGTCTAGACTTACATATTACCTTTGTGAACATTTGTCTTAAATGGAATATGTTCCAGTATGTTTCTGGTGTTGGTTATGAATGCATCTATACTAGAGTGAGATGTGTTTATTTGACTCTTTGGCTTCTCTGTCTGGACTACTCAGCTTTTCCAATAATATTGACAATTTATTGACTGCTTAGTACACACCAGGTACTAAACTAGATGGTTTAGTTTTTAAAACTTATTTAATTTTCACAGTAACTTTATGAAACAGCTGTTAATAGCTTCATGCAGAGAGAGGTAAGTAACTTGTGTATACAGCACACCAGTC